AAAAGCCGTGATACTTACAGAGGCAATATGTTGGTCATTCTTTGCAAAGGACGAGCAGGAAGACAGAAAAAAAAGAAAGATGGAAAAATAAAAGAGAAAGAACATAAAGAAATGGAATGTGGACGAGAGAAATGGGCAAAAGGAGGAGACAAACAAGAAGAAGAGATAGGAGCAGTGAATAACTATTTGTGGACTCTAAAAACATAAACAAACATGAAATGGTAAGGCTGTGCCATAACTCAGGCGGTTAGTCGCCGGCATTCCACTGCGTGTGCCCGGGTTCGAGTCCGGGTCAAGACATATGGGATTTGTGGTGGAGTAAATAGCACTGTGACAGGGTTTCTCCGTCTGCTTTGGTTTCTTCTGCCAATTCTCATTCGACTGATTGTTCCTCATTCATCATCATCTATCAAATGGGGCTGGTACATTAGAACAAACAGTGGCTGCAGTACCAAGTGGACAAGTCTCACTCCATGAAAAAAAAAACAAAAAAACATGAAGTGGTACAGCGTGATAACAATATGACATGACGTTGATTTCTAGACAGGGTCTATTCCCCAAAGAACGTGTATCTGACCAAGGAGCCATTCTCTTTTATGTGAGGTCCCAAACTGGCAAAAGTGCAGTCACTATATTCACGGATTTTGTCAGCACGCGTGAACAGTCGATAACTGAGCGGAGGAAGTGCATGCAGGGGGCCGTGCCCGCCCCCCATGCCTGCGTGCCCAGCCTCAGAAACAGGAGAGCGGGTAGAAAAGCGTGCACAGGGAAAATGTATTTTACCTCTTTAAAAGAGGGTTTATTTAATATTCAAAACACAACGAGGTTCACGCAATTTAACACATTCTTCCAAAAACCTCACGTAATCCTGAGATCCAGTTTATTTTCTGTTTGTTTTATGTAGTTCATTTTGTGTATGCAAATTTGGGATATCTTATTTTCCCTTTCATAATGTCATGTGACTTATTAGACGGGTTTTGGATTGGATGATTGGATTTATTGACATTCGTCTGGGATCTACAAGCAATAACAGCGCTATAGCTATTCTACACACTCTACAGGTCACTGTTACACATACTAGTGTCCTCAGTCTATTACACTCTCCACTAGTCGTATCCTGGCAATGGATTTATAAGTCTCAGTGTAACTTCAAATCACACATGACGTCTTCTTTGCACAGTCTAATTCTTTTCTTTCCATTGTTCTCAATCACCTTCGACTGCTGGCTTTCCCAATTTTCTGCTGCAATTTCCAACTCCGGAATTCGACTCGATTCTATTTCTCAGCTCCGTGAGGTCCTCGTTATATAGCCTCGGTGCGGACTCACAGAAAACACTGCGTCATCTTTTTTTACGTGTTGATTCACTGCTGCAGGAATTCGTTTATCGCACCGCTGCGTAGCAACGAGCGCGCCGCGGACCCATAGAGAATGCCATTAGCAACAACTCTTGTAGGGTTTCGTGACGTCATAGGGTACGTGGCGCATTCCTCTGCTGCGTGTCTACGGTTCATTACCTAGCAACAGCTGTTTCTCTGCCTCCACAGTTCTCGCTTTGAGTAAATACGCCACAATACCCATTTTGTGCAATGTGCAACTGCAGACGTTTACTGATTAAGTGACTTCACGTGTCATATATTTATCTCTAAATTCATTAATTGTAATAATGGGGAAATAAAGTTCTTGACACACTTCTTAGGAAGCTGATTTCGAAATTCGTCCATTTTTCACATACAGCTCATCGCATAAAAATATTATTACATGATACCTACGTAATTAAAGATATCATTAAAATCTGAAACTTCAGCACGGGGTGTATTTGATTTGGTGTGCGCCGAAAGGAATACAAGAAGGAACTTTACGTTTGCTTTATGATCATATTTGTGACATTATATTCGTACTGCAGAGTAGCCCAAATGAATATCGGTACGAATGAAGTAGGCATAACCACAGAGAAAAGCATTAGAAAAACTTGCCTACGTCAAATTAGAATAATGATCATGATTTCCACCGAACATCTAGAAGGTAGTTGTAGTAGTGCATTTTTATTCTGGAGGTAGGTGTTTCGAATCCCGGCCGGATGACATCTATGTATGCTTTCTGAGTTTCTCCTAGCGAATGCTAGGATAACACATTAATATTTTATCGTGTATGTATGACTATAAACTGGGTTAGGTTTGGTTAATGGATTTATTGACCATTTATAGATCATAACTACAAATAGCTATAACACTATCGCAATTCCCACACTTTACAATTCACTAGAATACACAGTCTAGTGTTCTCATTCTGTTATTAGCCGTTTCATGGTAACGGCTCCGGCATTGGTTAATCTTCTGCCTGCGGATTAAGTCCTTTCTTCACAGCCTTCCGTACAGAACTGAATATCAACAAAGTCAAAGTCACATTGCGACTGACGGTTAGTCAGTCAATCTTGGTGTCGAGCCCCATCTGGGACTCATGACCAGATATTTATTGCTCTTTGCCAGTTACGGTCTTGATTTTGTGAGGCGCCCTCTCTGACGAGAGGACAGGTCTGTCTTTTGTATATGCTGCTGTCCCTTGCTAGCACAGTCTTTCTCGGGTCCGAGTCCCTTGGGACTCGCGACCATATTTAACTTTGTCAGATTTCAGACTTCCCTTTTCGTCGCCTCCTACGATTCGCAGGGTCACGGTGGAGGTATTCGACCCCGCCTCCACACGAGCGTGACTATCAACTGACTTGGCCGCGCCATAGTTCAAGCGGTTAGTCGCTGGCTTCCCACAGCGGCGGCCCTGGTTCGAGCCCGGGTCTGGTTAAGTGGGATTTGTGGTGGACAAAGTGGCCCTGGGGCAGGTTTTCTCCGAGTACTTCGGTCTTCCCTGCCAACCATCATTCCTCCAATTGCTCCACAATCACCCTCGCCTATCATCTGGGGCTGGTACAATAGGCCAGAAGTGGCCGCAGTACAAGGGACTTAGTACCACCCCACTAGTAATATAAAAACTGACTTTGTTTCTTGCTTATAAAATCTTGGCATGGACCGTGTACAAACACAGCTCTTCTATTGCTGTAGTCCAACTGTTGCATTATTAAGAATCTGTTTCCTAGCAACGGGGACATGTTTACCTAGCCGTTGTGTAGCAATGGTCGTTTTTTACAGTCATCGCTTAGAAATGGGTCTATACTCCACAATATTACTACATAAATGTCTTGAACTGTCTTGAACTGTCTTGAACTGTCTGTAAAATTGCAAAGAATCCTTCATTACTGTAAGTTGTGTTACAGATTCATGATAGTTTCAGCTGGGAAATCTACAGAAGTTTCGTTACTAATCCTGAAACATTCGGGCCCTAGCAGAATCACATCTGAGTGTAGGAAGCTACACGTAGTTCGCGACAAGTTTTAACTTTGTTGTTCATGTCAAAGTTTTAAGTATACGAATGTGCCAGCACTTCAGCCTGCCGTGAAGTTAAGTTAGTTTGCTCCAAATTGAATGAAGTCAGGAACCGATTTATAACTCAGAACAACGTAATTGTATTTCAAACTCAAACTCGATCATTGATAAACAAAGCGTTATCACTGCATGTCAGCATTCAAATTGAATTGAACTTATATAAACATAGACTTTAGGAAGCGCTGAAATTATACCAACTCTCTGATACTTAGACTTCTCTATGAGAGTTACATTTACTGTTTTATTAGTCAGAAGGATGTCTGTGAAATAATTTGAAATCCTGTTTTGGAATAAGACTTGAAATCCTTACCAAGAGGTGTTTCACAACGTATCTGAACTTCAGTATCTTGAACGTGTACTCGACTCTTTCAGGGCATGTTCCGAAAGAGTCTTATACTTTTGCGGTTCTATTTGTTCATGTTCCACGCTTATAACTTTTAGAGTATATGCAGAAGACATGAACACAATATGGCTTCAAAATCAGTAGCGTCTTTAGATAAAAATCAATCAACAATGTGGTATTTTTAGTGTGCGCTTCCCCAGATAAAAAGTAAATGAAATAGTAAGTAAAAGTAAAGCTATCCCTGTAACAGGCCGTGAAGGCCCATAGGGTTGTGAGACGTTGAGGCTCCCACATTATCTAGACAATCGGCTCAAAGATGGCGGTAAGGTTGTCAGCCTTACGCGTCGGCCGCGCTTTACTCCCCAGGAAATTATTTAATTAATTCCTGGTACTCGTTTCTGTTATAGGCTGAGTCCACCCCAGGGCCATAGTGCGGCCGGAACGATTAGGTCAATTGAAAAAATCCAATGACCTCATCGGGACTTGAACCCGCGACCTTCCGGTTTATAACATAGTGCCTCAACCAAATACGCTACCGCGTACCCCCAAATAAAATAGTGATATGTAAATAATATTTTTTTCTCTCACATTTATTATACATAATCTCTTATAAATACATACGTTCAATAAGTACTTGCTCTTGAATGAGTTATACCCAGTGGCGTAACTCATACACTTTTACTGTTCCCTGACACGCCTGCTTCCCCATATCTTAATACTTTGACACATAAAATAGATATTGAGCCGTCATATTCAAATTAATTACTAACACTCGTAACGCTCGTTTCGTATTGTCACGTCTATTAGCGTTACTGTAGACGGGGTTTTGGATTGATGATCACATTTATTGGACCCTTTCATACAGCCTGACTATACTTTAAAATTCACTAATACACACTCACACACACACACACATATGTCAAAAGTCACACCTTCAATAGCCGTTGCTCGGTAACGGCTTCCAACGGCGGGCATTTCCCTTTCTCTGGGTTTCAGGATCATCCACCCTCAGCCCCGCCTCAGATCCAGACCTCAGCAGTTATCAGAATCGTAAATATCTAATCTAGAAATTATTTGTACTCCACTGGAGTACAGATTTCCATTATTGTTCGAACAAAAGACTGACAGGAACGGGAAACCTCTATTATGAATACGCTGAAGTGCGCTTTTTAATGTGTGTGTGTTTTGTTCCTATGTTTCGTTTTCACCTTGGCGCACTCACCTACTGATCATTATGACGTCAAACGATGTGCCCTACATCGACCCTTTGAATGCATTTCTGTCCCTTACAATTTCTGATGTTTTCATACCAACCTGAAAGAGAATAATTAAAATTAAATCGACCAGTAGTGGTTAGAGTCGGGATACTTCAGTCGGTATAGCGAATAGGCTACGGGATGGAGGGCCGGAGTTCGAGTCCTGAAGTAAAGATATTTTTCTCTACTCCACAGCGTCCAGACCGTCTCTAGAGCCCACTCAACCTCCTGTAAAATGGGTCCTTGATTCTCTTTCAATGGGGGTAAGGCGCTTGGAGCATGAAACTGCCCATTCACATCCATCTAATGTCGAGGTTAAGGAAGGTGGAGCTATACCTCCATTCCCAAATAAGTCTTCACAGTGTAGTGTTTAATTAATTAAGCAGAGGTACGATTTTACTTTTATTTACTTCACCAACAGAGATTGGCGTACACACGCCCAAATTAGTACATCAAGAGAGTAAACTAAGCAAAACCCCTAAAATAAGGAATTAAAATTAAAAAACAAATTGAAAAAATGGCGGATAAATGTGAAAATGAATTACTGAAGGAATGGACAAAATTTTAATGCGGCTAATTTGTTTGTTATTTTCCTGACTTTGTCCTGACAGAATATTCTAGCGAGGGAAACTGAGGCGGTTGTCAAACATTTTTTCCCTGGCACTACAGCCCCAGTGGACCTAGGCCTACCTCCATTAACTTCTCCGTTCACTTCGGTTTTTCTAGATCTTACACATTCGGTAGGACTCCTTGGGCTGGTGATCAGCTCGTCGCAAGGCTTCTACCTGTATACAAACACAGAAAAACGCACACACACAAACTAAACATCCAAGCCCTGAGTGGGATCCGAACCCACGATCCCGGTTTCCAAGCGAGCGAAGGCAGTACATGCCTTAGACCGCTCGGCTACCGTGACCGGATGTCAAACATCACAATTATCAAATAAAAGAGGATGAGATGGGAGGGGCATATACATCGCTTAGGAAAAGATGCATACATAATTTTTTGTGGGAAAATTTAAAGGAAAGACACTACTAGGAATACGAAACTGTAAATGGGAGGATATTAAAATAAATATTAAAAAACATGATATAAAATATGGACTGGATTCATCTGGCTCAGATGAGGGACCAGCGTGGAACCTTGCGTAAACGGCACTGAACTTTTGGGTTCCACTAAATGCTTGGAATTTCCTGAGCGGCTGAGCACATATTGGCCTCCCAAGAATGACTCCCTAATATGGAGTCGGTTAGTTAATTGATGTGACGGGATATGCAATAGATGCAGAAAATAAGTCAGTTGATTATTCAGCCAATCCGATCAATCAATCAGATATCTGATCACTGTAACGAGATGAAAGCTTTCATAACGGGTCAATGCTAATGTGCTGATGGTACCGTGATAACGTCAGCGGTATGAAGACGGATACAAAAAGAATCCCCGAAACAGCAAATACAGCTCACGTGTATTCACATATTGCAACATGAAGATCAAAATCCCTTACATTGCGTAAAATTTGAGGTTTCCACAGCAGTGACTATGAAGAATGCCATCTTCTGAGATGTGGCGCTATGTAGATATTCTATAAACCGACGTTTCGGAGGAACGTATCGCCTCCATCTTCAGGGTAGAAGAAAAAAATCCTCGAGCGAGTAGGTGAGGGTGAGTAGGTGACTGCAGGTGGCTACAGCTGGTTCATTCATTCATTCATCAGTAATCTGTCAGATGACAGGTCCACAGTCTCTTCCAAAACAGTTCCTCCACTTAATGTGATCTTCTGTTTTTGAAAGAGACTATCCAGGAAAAGTGATAATGTGGTAGTTTTTCCATTTGCTTTCCACATCGCAGTACAACAGCCGTTCAAACCACTCTGGTCACGCCTGTTGTTATACGAACTTGAACCATCTCGAGCATCATTTGCTCTGTGCTTCAAGTCGCTGCTGATGACGCTGCATAATGCCTCAGCCAACTGCGTTACCGCCTACCCTTACGCCCATCGCAGCTGGTTCCTCGCTCGCAAATTTTTTCTTCTACCCTGAAGATGGAGGCGATCTATTTCTTCGAAACGTCGGTTTACATATTATCTACACGGCGCCACATCCCAGAAGACGGCATCCCCATACATTGCAGTTATGTAACTTCTCTGTCACTTCGTTTCGTCATCTCTTGCGTCCAGATATTCGCAACCCTTTGAAAGAAAGGAAACAAATTTAATACCCACACAGAATATGTCACGTAGTGTCTGCAGTGTTTGAGTCCGGAAGTTTTAAAACACAATTTAAGGCTAGGAGTATTTGTTCTACTGCGCTAGTCTACTGCAATGCATGCACCCAGTAATAGTGATTTTGTTGGTTGGAATTGTCATTTGTGAATTCTATGGAAACAAAAGATAAAATGTATTCTTGGACACGAAGAAACATATTAACTATGACAGGAACAGAGAAAATGAAGTATAACATAGTGGCGTGTGGACCCGTCACTAGGCAACGACCGCAAAATACGCGAGTCTACGACAGCCGTTGCTAGATAACGGCTCAGCAAACAGATATGAGAGCAAAAATTCCACGGCAACAATTGCACTGCAACATAGGAGTGGTGTTTTCCATGCGGTCATTGCAGTCAGTGGAGTGAGTTGATTGGTGGTTAGTGAGATAACCGCAGGGGTTCAGTTGTTACTATGAGAAGCTGGTAGCTGGTCCCGGGGAGAGTTCGGGAACCCAGAGGAAGGGGTACGTCCACCGTAGAAAGCCGCTACCAATCAACGGCTAGTGAAGACTGTAATAGACTGAGGAAACTAGCCTGTCCTATAGGGATTTGTGAAGTGTGTAGAACAGTGAGAGCATAACCTTTGCTTATAGTTACCCTTACCAGTTGTAAGTGTTGAAGAAATCCGATTATCAATCCAAACACCGTCTGTAGTTACTCATACACGTGACAATATTAACGGAATAAAATTCTGATGTCATCTTTGTAGGATTCATAGCAGGCTTACTTATATTAAACTTCTGTAGCTGTACGTGAACACTATAAGCCCAGTACTGCACAATGCATTCATAAATGCGAGTATTCGATACTAAAATTAATATAAAAGCCAAAATGTCGTGGTGTTGTGGCCAGCTTCCCTGATTCGAGTCTTGTATGTTCTAGGTTGCATCTGGGCCTACTCAGAATAAAGTAGTTCATGACCTTCCTCGATTCTTCGAGGCGAATGCTATTGTAGTGCCTTAAAAAGTCACGACCTATTTTACTCATGTGCCCGCGGTAACGTAGTTGGTTGTGGCACTATGGTAGAAGCCGCAAGGTCGCGAGTTCGATTCCCCATGAGGTCATTTGATTTTTTTTACGAGTAACTGACCTAATCCTTCCAGCCGCACTATTGCCGTGGGGTCGACTCAGCTTCTAACAGAAATGAATACAAGGAATCTTGCTGGGGGTAAAGGGCGGCCGGGCGGCCGGCCGGCGTGTAAGGCTCACAACCTCACCGCCATCTGTGAGCCGATTGTCTAGAAGATGTGGGAGCATCGACGTCTCACAACCATATAGGCCTCCACGGTCTGTTACAGGGATAGCTTTGCTTTTCTTAGCTGTTCTGAGATCTCTTTAAAAATTAAATTTTCTACTAGGTTAATTCTTGCCTATCACGGTGGCCGCGTGGTGTAAGGTATGAACTGTCTTTACTCGTTCGAACGCTGGGATCGTGGGTTCGAATCCCACTCAAGACATGGCTTTCTGTATGCTTTTAATCACTGTTTGTGTTGTTCTGTGTGAAGGTAGCGGCCTTGCGACGGGCTGATCCCCCGTCCAAGGGGTCCTACCGACTGTGTATAGGATTTAGAAACTGAAAAGTGGCCAAGGTCCAACAAAGTGCTGTAGACCCATAGATGAATGGCCGGATGGACGGACTGATATATAGATTGATATTTGTTCTTCCTAAATTTTGAAGCGGTGTACAAGTTGAGTATAAAGAATTGATTCAGAAAGCTGTAAAAATATATATTTGACCTTTGCAGCGTCCTCTTTGCTGCGATAAGGAAGCAGAAATCAACGTAGGGCCTAAAATGGCAGTGGATATTTAGAAGATAATGCCCAAGTCTCTAGAACTGTGCAACTCCAAGGAAACTCATCCTCTTCGTCGGACATTATTGACAGCTAGCAACGTACGTCAAGTGTTTCCCCTTTTAAACTGAACATGCTATTTGCCAAGTTCACAAAGCTGACGACTTTCCAACAGCAACACCGAACAACTGAGACTACTGGCCCGTTCTGACATCGATAGAGGTAGGGTAAAGCTATCCCTGTAACAGGCCGTGAAGGCCCATAGGGTTGTGAGACGTCGAAGCTCCTACATTTTATAGATAATGGGCTCACAGATGGCGGTAAAGTTGTAGGCCTTACGCGCCTGCCACCGTTTAACTCCCAGGAAGATTCCTGGTACTAATTTCTGTTAGAGGCTGAGTCGACCCCAGGGCCATAGTGCAGCAGCAAGGATTAGGTCAATTAAAAAAATTCAATCATCTCATCGGAAATCGAACCCGTGACCTTCCAGCTTGTAACATAAGTCTCAAAAAACTACGCTGCCGCGTGCCGTCAATAGGGATACATGAGCTTTACTTCTCTCGAGTTAATGTTAATGACATAAGCAGATTTAATCATGGGTGTCACATTTATGATTATTTCATGGGGTCACATTGTCACAAATTTTCCGAACTCCTGCTTTACGCCAAGTGAACAACACGTTGAACTACATTCACGCTTCTTGCATCCTCCTGCAAGACTGCGTCCTCTGTCTTAAAGGAGAAGTAACGTTAAGGTACCAACATATAGTTTTGTGTCTCTTCTACAAATAACGTTTGAACGTTAGGCCATAAAGTGATATAATTAAATTCCTTGGTGTAAATACAGCAACATGGCGGCTAGTGCTATTCGGACTTTGACATACAGCCTGAAATATGGACACTTGTAAAGAAAGAGACGCAAAGAAAGGACAGAAGGGCGGCTATTTCTCAGGAATGTGGCGAGACACATATCAGAGGATCGAATTCGAAACACAGTAATTAG